AATTACACAAAGAAGTTTATTTAAATCGCAATGAGCATACCATTCAAGAATTATGATTGCGGAAAAAAGTGTTTCTGGAAAATACTTATCAATTATGTAGATGTTACTAATAAACAGATCCTTGAGCCTTAGAAAAACCATTGAACTGAAAATTTACATGTCTTATAAAGTTAGAAACAAAGGAAAACTTCACGGTAAGCATTTTCATAACTCAAATATTTATTGACATGACGTTTGCGATTTTGTTATTTTACTTAACATATGCTGTCACTTGATATTTTGATTAATATTAATAGGAATTAATATTATTTAATATTATTTGAAGCACATGCATATTTTCCAAATTGAACATTAAAGTTTTTATCACAATTAAAGATCAAAGAAACTATTGCGTATTTTTGGAGGAAAGTTCTGCAGCATCGATATCACTTTTTGAAAGCGTTATAAGAGTCAAAATACTCATTTACACTATTTGTTGAAACTAAATAACGTTTTTAAGTTATAGTTGTAAGTAAATTCACGCATTTATTTATCTCAACTCTCATGAAACTTCCTTTCATCTTTATATTATAGTTTCTGCGTATTTTTTTATATATTCCCTTAACTTATAATTTCTCGAGGCTGAAATCGTTTCTAAAGACAATTTTCACTGATGTCTGTAACTTTTCACCGACTGAACTGAAAAGAACGAAGATTGTACTGTATGTATTTATAGAAATGCTTAGACGCATTAATGTAAAACGAGTTTTTTTTCTTCATTTGTATGAGTTTTAAAAGTGAACACATCTTTCCATTAATTTTCAGCCATTTTAATGCCATCTTTTAATGTTTTTTGATTACTCAATTCTACTATCAAATATATATATATATATGTATATATATATATATGTANAGAATTACCCCTGAGAGTACAGGATATCAATGCTTATGATATCATATCGATGCATATATATTATGATATCGATATATATCGATTTCAAGCATATATATTTATATGTACATACACACATATATAAACATAGACATATATATACATACACACATATATGTACATACATATATATACACACACATATATACATAGACATATATATACATACACAAATATATATACATACATATATATATACACAAATATATACATACACACATATATACATATATACATACACACATATATGTACATACATATATATACACACACATATATACATAGACATCTAGATATATATATATATATAGTATATATACACCCAAACAATTGTGTGAAAGAACACATTATTCCGAGTTAACATCAAAGTGAATATTCATATATGATTTAAAGGGTGTAATTTAAATTTAAACACTTTTAATAGAATAGGCTTCCAATGAGGTGACCCGGGTTCGAATCCCTGGTCGATTCGGATTCCACACCCAGCTCACACCGACCACAGTGCTGACGTAAAATATCCACAGTGGTAGATGGATTGTGGGTTAGAACCCCTTTGCCGTCAGACTAACTGTGGGAGGTTTCCATGGTTTTCCTCTCAATGTACCAGTTCTTCCGATACTTGATAAATTTCTTCCGAAACTTGATCCAAGAGTTCTCTTGTCTTCTGGATTGGGTTCAAAATTACAAGGCTACGGTGTTGAACAATGGTAGCCGTATGCTCCGAATTGAATCGGCTGGACAACGAAGGTTACAATATATAAAATAAAATAAAAAATAGGTGTGTATGTTTTTAATTGCTTAATAAATATAATAATATTTTATTTTTTAAATCTTCGTGTGCTGTATTAAGTGATTTTACCTTGTACAATTTCTATCAGTTCCCGTTTTGGTAAGCTTTGTTCGAGTTCGACTTTATGCTATCTCTGTGGTACTTATATATTTGACATACGAACTAATTTTATTTTAAAAAATTATTGTATTCTAAAATAATAATTTTTTTTTGTATATAGTATCGTAATAATAAATTTGCTTACTCTTATGCAAACCTTATTTTATAAAAATTATAAATTTTTGGGCTATTGAATGTAAACACTGAAGGCAGTGACTTTACACCATGTAGTGTAAAGTCACCGCCAGTAGTAGTGTATTCGAACATTCTTGGTGTAATAGAACCCCACTTTGGTGTAAAATAATTGCGATCAATTTTTGTGAAGGTAAACAAAAATTGTATCAAAAATAAAATTTTAGTTTTACTGTTTTCTTCCAATACCAAATAACTTAAATTATTTAATTGATATTCTTAAAATTTTCAATACCATAGTAATTATTTAAACTTTATTTATTCAATATTTTTTTTGCAATAATTCAAGTCTCTAACAGTTAATGTGATAATTTTGGATTGAGTTTTGTTTTACAATACTGCAAGAGCAAAGCAATTTTATATCATTCAAATCTATTCCTTTCATTTCACGGGGAATAAGAATACAAGCTTTATTTCATTTTGGATTTAATATAAAGTTTCACACCATTATCAATGGAAATATCCTGTTATCCATTCAAATATTTAATTAATTAATTAATCTAATGAATTTATTTAATAAATAGGTAATTAATAGCAAATTATTTATTAAATGAAAATTGCTTCAGTTTCAAAATATTAAGTTTCCTTAAAATATTGCACTGTTCCCTAAAAACAAAAATTAACAATAATTAAAAAAATATATTTTTAATATTTACGCATTCAAAAGATGTTACAATTTCAAAACTTTCATTAAAGTTCATTAAAAATTTGTATTTTGATGCAAAAATTGCATAGATAAATTAATTTTATTTCATTATTAACTAAGAATTATAGTTATAAAATAATATTTACAATTTATTTTCTTACAATTTTTACGATTAATTTAAAATTTTAATTTTTGCAATAAAATAAAATTTATTTAAATTGTAAAATTTTCAATAATTTCTCTTTCCGCTTTCAAGTTATGTACATTGGTTAGTAAATTTTCTAAAAAATAATAAAAAATATGGTTGGTAAATGCAAAGGAGCATGTATTTTAGAATTAAAATAACATTTCTACCTTATTTTTTATATTCCATCATTAAAAACAGTTTTTTCCCTTACAGCAACAATATAAAGATAATATCTTTTTAAAGTCAGTTTGCCTATGAAATAAAATTTTTAATGATATACACTGGTAGTTTTATTAATATAGAAGTGAAAGACAAGTAAAAATTTAACTAAAAATTCAATAAAAAAAATCTAACTTAAAATTCAATAAAAAAAAATCCGTTTTAAAGAAGCAAACAATTTTCGTGAACTATTATTAGTAAATTTTGTTCAGTTTTCTGTTATTGAGAGATTCTCTCTGTGAGGGTGGATGGACGAAAATAAACTCTAACTTAGTCTTGACAAGGAAAACAAGCATTTTTGTTTTATGTGTTGCAAAAAGAGGAAGTTAAGGCAACACGAGATAAATGTTTGTGTTTGAAATCACTTACTCCGTGTATATACCCAAGTACACTTCCTTTTGCTTACTATAATGAATACTATATAAAAAGCAAATGAGAAATAATTTCTCTTATCAGAGTAACTTTGACGTATTTTGGTTTTTGATGAAGTTAATTTTAAGTTATCATTATTGCTTCGTTATATAATGAGTAAATTGCTCTAAGAATCTTATCTTGCAGGAAATTAAGTTTTCTACTGAGCTTTGGAATTGTTATTGGTCGTAACGGTTATTTTTAAAGAACGCATTTTTACTGTAAGTTCCTTGAAGGTAACAGTTACAGCTTAAAAAAGGGTTCAAATAACAGATTCTTTTTTACCGGAACATTAATTGCCGTCTGTTGGACAGAAATTATCATTTTAAACAATTGTTTTTCAATGTTAGATTTTTTTTGTAACATATATTTTATAACACTACCTTACAGTAATGAAAGAGGCACTTTTAGTTTTTAATTTTTTTAAAAATTTCTTATAATTTAAGAGGTAATTCATTCATGCGATTTTTCATACTTGGTCATAAAGTTCAAAACTTTCAGAAATTTCAGAGACCGACAATAATTTAGAAAAGAAAGCAAGTATTTCTAAACCCCCCTATGTCAGAAAATTGAGCAATAAGCTTGTAACTTATACAATTTATTTCGGTTATTTGAAATAACTCATATAATTTCATAAACCTAGTTTAAATATTTATGGAGTTTTATAAATTTTTATATCTTCCATTTTTCTTTTTTGCTATAACTTTATTTTCAACAATAACTTCGTTATTGTTGAAAATTTGTGCAAAATATTATTATTTAAAGTAGCTTTTTAATACTGCGCATGCACGGAAAAATGAAGAATTGATTTTTATAATTGTAGTGAATCGTAATTGACAACTAATGAAAAAAGTCTGATTTGAATATTTTAAAAATTTAAAGGGTTTAAAGCAATTTTCTAAGTGGTTTTTGTACTTTTTTAGAGGAAAGCTCAAATTGATAGGGGTTTAGTGCTTTATTGCTAAGTAGGATAATCCTCAAAGTGTTTCTTGAGATATTTAATAAAAATGTTAAAAACTGAAAGTGCGTCTCTTCAATTATTGCATTGCAGTATATATATATATAAATCTTTTTTTTGGGGGGGGGGAGGGAATACTAAACTTTCTAATTACGTTTTATGTAAGTAATTTATAACATTTGTCAGGAACAAAAACGTTTCAAGAAGCTTTAGAAACAGAAATTTTTAAATGTGTCTTTTACCTATTTATATTTTGTCAATATTTATGGTAATGTATGAAACGTATTTGAAATTCAGTTGATGTCTTGGAATTTTTTCTTTAATTTCAAAATTACTCTAGTCATAGTTGCGAGGAATATAGTAACATAGTGACAAGGAATTTTCTACAGAACTTAGAATGATATATTTATTCCATTATTGTGTAAAGCCAATAAAATTATTTTTTGTTCATATATTTATACCCAATAAATTCTATTATCAAAAGTTTGATTAATGCTAAGTGAAGATAGTTCTTAAATAAATAAATAAAAATTAATATTTGATACTTTTTTTTTATTTATTTTGCAGAAGATCTTGATGTAAAGCTAGAAATAAAAGAAGCGTATGAAGCTCTGTTCATAGTGAGTCTTAACCAACCTTTTTCTGAAGAGTACAAGAAATTTTCAGAAAATGTGAAAAAAATAGCTAAAACGAAGTATAATTTTACATACGTTGAAAACATGGTAAGAAAATAAAAAAAAATTCTTCAAAGTTTAAAGTTATATTCTATGATTGTGTTTATAGTTTGCATAATTCATTTTAAATTTTAGTCTGCATTAAATACTGATTTTTTAAAAACGTTAAGATTTGTGAAAATCATTTTTAAGATTTTGTGGCCATCAAAAAAGATCACATTAACTTTTCTTTCATGATATTTATTTTAATATTAGCTGTAATTTTAGGTTAACTACTTCACTGCAAGTTTTCACGATGCAGTTTTGATGTTATGCGATGTCATAAAGGAAACAAAAACTATGGGTGAAACTCCTTTCGACGGAACGATCATTATTTCAAAATTTAAGAATAGGACATTCAACGGTAAGAATATTTTGTTGTTTCTTTTTACACAATTTTAAAATGCTTTAAATATCTACAAGAGAGCGTGGCTTTTTTATTTGAATAGTCAAACTTTTTATTAACAACATAATTGCAATTTTGTCTGAAAATCGACGGATGCAGAAATGCCTTCAAAAGCAAAATTCGAAAGAGAGACTGCCGTTTCAGAACTATAGGGAAATATCATAATAATTTCCAAAACACAGAATAATAAAAATGGAAACCAGGTCAAATTACCATATTCAGTACCTTGCAAAAAAAATTACTATTGCGTTTTAGTTTCGTACAAATTATTTTACATTTTTTTTCTTTAATTTGTGCCTTGCACACTGGGAAAAAAGTATGGTCAAAACTACCGGAACATGGTAAAATTTACGGTGTTTCTGGTTGTATTGTTATGTAATTTTTACTAAAATGCTTTGGTAATGATTTTTTTAAAATTAACAATAGAATATGATATTATAATAAGAGATGAAATTCAGCAAATGTGGTAAAATTGATAATTTAACCACATTTAGAATAAGGTAAAAAATCATTTATTTGGTGAAATTTACTCTTCAGTTTTGTAACTTTTATTTCTAATATTTGTGTGGTAACAAGTATTATAAATTTAAAAACCAGAATTTCCGGTAAGCAGTTATTATATGAATGGAAAAATTACCAAATAAAAGGTGCAAACACCATATATTTTCGTTTTACTAATTAGAATAATCTTTCTTTTTTGTTTCTAGAAATGTCATTAAAATACAGAACGATAATTTTACCTGAGTTATATTTTCTCCTTACGCATAGTCTATGAAATCCGTGCGCTTTGCGATTTTGTAATTTTATTTTCGCAGTTTTGTGATTTTATGTTCTTTTAAAAAGGTTTAAGATTTGCTATTCTCCTATTAAAAGTTTTATTCTTCTCAATAAACTAGAATGAGGTTTTATGTTCAAGTTTTAGTATAAAATGAAAAATCTTAAAATCTCTTAAATACTATCTTTTTTAAAATACTGATTTAAAGAAAAAAGAATTGCGTTGTAATTTATAATTGAAATATATTTTCTCGCATTATTATCGATCGTATGAACTTTTATGAATCTCATGTAAAAGTTGGTTGTAAAAACTATATAACTCTCATTTAAATGCATTTAAAATTTTTATTGGATATTTTTTTAGCCTTTTAAAAACCAACTTTCATCTTTTTCTTATGGCTATTTCCTTAAAACCGTATTTTTTTTGTACAACAAATTAATGTTTTTGAACGAAAAATATGTTATTTTTATTATTGATGGGGTAGAAAAACAGTAACCAATCGTTTAAATTTCATTCATCTTTCGTCGCTGCACTCTACACAGTAAAAAAATTCCTGATCAAATTACGGTATACAGTTCATGCACTTTGAGCTATTTTACCGTAAAATATTATAAAATTTTTTCAGTAATATTTCTTTAATTAGAGTGATTCATTGTATTATTGTAAAAATTCGGATATTATAAACATTTTGTTTCGTAACACGCTCTACTAATAATGGATGTTACAGTAAAGTATAACGGCACCCTGAAAACCGGTACTTTTTAATGTAATTTGATTCGGAATAAAATATAGTGTATGTTGATTATTTAAACAGCACGGAATTTCTAAATAGAAACAAAGTTCTTTTTAAGTAATATTTGTTTGTGATTTATTTTTTAGCAGTTAAAATGTTAAACTATTAGTGAACTGCTTAGACTAATAAAAAACGCCTACATTTTGAGATTAAATGATTCCTTTCAAGTTGTGCAAGTAGTTTCTTTATATTTCTTGGTAAAATAGCATAAAGAAACAGGAATTTCATCTCACAATGGTTAATAGCTGTGGTCGTTCAGGGGATAGAGTGTTTACCTTCCAATGAGGTGATTCGGATTCGAATCCCTGCGATGGCTGCTTCATGCGAGTTCCGCACCCGTCTCGCACCGACCACAGTACTAACGTAAAACGTCCTTATTGGTAGACGGATCATGAGTTAGAGTCCCCTTGCAGTTGAGCTAACTGTGGGAGGTTTTCGTGGCTTTCCTTTCCCTGCAAGGCTAATTCGGGTTAGTTCCATCAAAAAGTTCTCGATGAAGGCAAATTTCTTCAGATACTTGATCTATAAGTTCTCTTGTCTTCTGGATTGAGTGCAAAATTACATTTTTACGGAGTTGAGCATTAGTAGTCATTAACCCAAAATGGGGTATTGTTCAACGATGGTTATAAAATAAAATATAGGTATGGGTCAAAAACTCAAAAGAATTCATGTAATTTTTATGGATTTTGAAAAAATCTGAAAATTCTGTATCCATGGTTTCTGTTTTTTTATATATATAATGCGTGAAATTTTCTCGAAAAACTTTTAAAAGTTCTTTATCAAAGAATATTTTTAAAATAGTTTATAAAATTTTTAATTGTTAAATTAAAATGGAGGTTAAATTAATTTTTACCCGATGTGAATACATTTTTCTTATAAGTCTAGGTATGTCTGGAGTTGTGACCATTAATTCAGAAGGTGACCGGATTGCAGATTATGCTCTTTTGGATCAGATAGATACAACAACTGGAAGTTTTGAGGTGAATCACTTTACTTTTTTTTTCATTGTTTTGAAATAAAAGATTTGTAGGAAAATACACAAAATATACTAAACTATATATTAAGTTATTTTTAAAAATTCTTTCATTATAAAATTTAATTTTTTACTCGATATAATTTTAGTTCTGAAAAAAGTTGCATTTTACTTACAGACAACGAAATATAAAATTAGTGATGCGAAAATGCGCAACAGAATCCTAAAACTTCATGTCTTCCTTTGCTTAATGCCCTTCCACTTTCCTCAAAGTTTCTTGGGTTACTCTTTTTAAATATTATTAGATATATCTTTTAAAAAAAATTATATACAATTCTTATTCAAATGATAATAATTGCGAAATATTTGTTAATTTATATAATTATTAGAAATCACGATTTTTTGCCTGTTTTTAAATGTATTTTAAGGAATTTTTAAAGTGTATTTAATTAAGAGTAGATAATATCACATTTAAGGTTTCCTAAGAAGTTAAATAAGGCAGAGGCATTTGCTTATGGCTTATTTAGAGTTCGAAAATTAGCTTTGTAAAAATTTACTCACTCGATTGTACCAATCCCATTTGAATTTTCGTGTCTGAATTATATAAATGTATTTTTTATTTTAAGTAAGTATTATATTAATAAATTTAAAAAATATAAAATGTATTAATAAGTATTAAAAAAGTTCATACTACATACACCAGGAAAATGCTTTTAATATAAAAGATTTTGAATAGTTTTATGAAAATAACTATTCTACTTCCATTTAATATATGGTATGAGTTTTTTCTTTCTTTTAAGTATTTATTTAACGGAAACTTAAGAAATGGTTAAATTTAATTAATCTCAAAAATTTACAGCATTAATCCAACTCTTCATCAATGCATTAGAAAGAAAAGAGTTTCGTTATATTTCGCAATATATATATCTAACAATATGGATAAAATAATCGTTGTTTATTATTTTTTACTAAATGATTAGGGGAGGGTAGCCTAAAGCGGGTAGGTCGCCTAAAGCGGGTAGGCATTCGTATCCCGCCGCTTGGCACGCAGACGCCGATATCTAAGTATGCCGTGATTACCCGAATACTCAAGAGTTTCAATCAGTCCCAGCGGAGCTGAAGTAAAGCGACATGGCGTAACCAAGCACAAAATAAAAAAATTTATAAGTTTATTAAAAAAACTTAAGGTATGTAACTTGTGGCTAGTCGAAAGCCGGCTTTTTTTATTGTCAATATTATTATATTATTTCAACACTATTCCCCTATAAACTACGATGTTCAATTTTTTCAATTTTTTCAATTTTTTTTTATTTAAGGTTGTAATTTTTAAAGTAAAAAATATGCTTCTGGGCAAAGCGGGTAGGGAAAGGGGGTAGATACCGTCTTTGCTCTACCCGCGAAGCGGGTATATGAATGTCACAAATATATATGAATTTCACAAATATACTGAGGCCCTTGAATATGCTAGAAAAACTAATGTAATTTTTGTATCGCTGCCTCCTCATACAACTAATCGCATGCAACCTCTGGACCGTTGCGTTTATGGACCGTTCAAAACTTACTTTGAGCAAGAAGTTTCCACTTTTCAAAGAAGCCATGTAGGTAGAATAATTACTCAGTACGACGTAGCTTTACTTGTTGGAAAAGCATATTCAAAAGCAGCTAGTGCACAAAATGCTGTTCAAGGATTTAAATCCTCAGGAATATGGCCCACGAACCAACACATATTTAGTGATGGTGACTTTTTGTCAGTTAGTCTGACAGACAGGGCTGAAGTTATTGAAAACACCAACGATAGTCCATCGCAGATCCAATTTACTGATGCTGGTCGTCTTTCTAATAATTCTGATTGCTCTACTTCCACATCTGTATTTGAAAACGTGGATCACAATTACTCTCAAGCTTCAAGGATTTCGCTACGACGCACAAACGGAGAAACTTCGTATGATCCATCTGTTGAAGATGATCCTTCATGTTTTACGACTACTAGTGACTATTCATTTCAACCAGTAGAAGAGCCATTGACACCTTATGTGAAGCCTTTGGAAATTAGACCGCTGCCAAAACCTACTCCGAACAAAACTAGTTGTAAACGTAAAACTCAAAGAGCTGAAGTCTTAACAAGTTCACCATTTACAAATATGCAAATGGAAAATGAAGAAAAGAAGAAAAGTCCTAGTAACAATGCTGCTGTTCAAAAAAATTAAAAAAATCTTCCTTCGACAAGTAAACCAGGTAAAACTAAAAAACAAAGAGGTTCATAGAAAAAAATTGTAAAAGAGTATTTTTGTCTTGTTTGTGGGGGGCCTTATGAGGATCCACCGTTAGAAGATTGGATTGAATGTGGAGATTGTAAAGACTGGGCTCATGAAGCTTGCACAGCTTATTCAGGAAGAGGGTCTTATTTTTGCGAACTATATCAAGAATAACAAATCATAATTTGAGACTGATAAAATAAGTCTAAAATGGTTATTTAAATGATATTTTTAACATCTATTATACGTGTGATTAAGGTCTCATTATTAATGTTTAAGAAAATTAATATGTGCTTGTANGGAAAAGCATATTCAAAAGCAGCTAGTGCACAAAATGCTGTTCAAGGATTTAAATCCTCAGGAATATGGCCCACGAACCGACACATATTTAGTGATGGTGACTTTTTGCCAGCTAGTCTGACAGACAGGGCTGAAGTTATTGAAAACACCAACGATAGTCCATCGCAGATCCAATCTACTGATGCTGATCGTCTTTCTAATAATTCTGGTTGCTTTACTTCCACATCTGTATTTGAAAACGTGGATCACAATTACTCTCAAGCTTCAAGGATTTCGCTACAACGCACAAACGGAGAAACTTCGCATGATCCAGCTGTTGAAGATGATCCTTCATGTTTTACGACAACTAGTGACTATTCATTTCAACCAGCAGAAGAGCCATTGACACCTCATGTGAGGCCTTTGGAAATTAGACCGCTGCCAAAACCTACTCCGATCAAAACTAGTCGTAAACGTAAAATTCAAAGAGCTGAAGTCTTAACAAGTTCACCATTTACAAATATGCGAATAGAAAAGGAAGAAAAGAAGAAACGTCCTACTAACAATGCTGCTGCTCAAAAAAATTAAAAAAATCTTCCTTCGACAAGTAAACCAGGTAAAACAAAAAAACAAAGAGCTTCATAGAAAAAAATTGTAAAAGAGTATTTTTGTCTTGTTTGTGGGGGGCCTTATGAGGATCCACCGTTAGAAGATTGGATTGAATGTGGAGATTGTAAAGACTGGGCTCATGAAGCTTGCACAACTTATTCAGGAAGAGGGTCTTATTTTTGCGAACTATGTCAAGAATAACAAATCATAATTTGAGACTGATAAAATAAGTCTAAAATGGTTATTTAAATGATATTTTTAACATCTATTATACGTGTGATTAAGGTCTCATTATTAATGTTTAAGAAAATTAATATGTGCTTGTATTTGTAAAATCTATGGTGCTTACCCGCTTTAGGCACCTTGTAGGGCAAAGCGGGTTTTTTCAGTGTTTTTTATTTTTGATAATAAATAATTATAAAATTTAAAATAACGCAATAATCATTTTTTATTTTAAAATTCAAGATCTCTTTTAAGAATAAAATCAAAAACGCTGCGATAAAAGCCCAAAAACTACAACTTTTGAGAGTTTATTGTTAACCTACCCGCTTTAGGCCCCCCTCCCCTAGTTATGTTATTTGGAGCAGCAAATTAAAATGATGTTCAAAGGAAAGAGAAGATTTATGTTAATGATTTCACTTTCATCTTCTAACTAAAAAATGCGGTTGGAAAAAAAAGTGTATAACAAAGCAACGATAAACAAAAAATAAAGTATTTCGGAAAAAAATGAAAATGAAAAATGAATATATTAAGATTAACATGAAAAAATAAAAACATTTGCAACAATAAAAGTACAAAAACAAACTATTTTATATTCTTTACTGGTTCAAAAATATTGTAAAATATAAAATAGCTAAAAAATGTTTTGAATAAAATGTTTATTCTTCCATTATTATATTCTTCTTATCTATTTAGTGCGCAATCCATAAGTATAGAATATAAAACTTGATAGCTGCATATGTTTGGGAAAAGTGTTTGAAGACTCTAAATATAGTCTTAAGAATTATTGCTTTAGTTACTGCCTAGATTGCTGATTGAATTGCTGCATAGATCATTATTGAACGTCGTATACACAATATTAATACGTTCTTCATATGAAATCTATTTCCATTGATTTTTTTGCTAAAGGTGTTTCTTTATTATTTTTCTATGGATATGAAGCTCATTCTACTCATAATAAAGGCCGTATGATATAAATTAAAAGTTTATATTTAAAGCATTAAATAATTTTAAGTACTTGTGCAATCGAAATTTACAATTGTGTCCATTAGAAGAGCTCTCTGTCATTTCTACTGCTTGTTATTAAATAAATTGTATAATTTTCCGAGTAAGTTTAAGTTATTATTCTGTATTAAATAAATTAAATTATAATAAATCATAGGCATATATGTTCGTAAAATCTGTGGAATGATAGACCTTTGGTCGGTCACTGAGCTGTACTAAGAGTAGAGGTATGCGGAAAATTTCCTTCTCCTTCGAATCTATGTCTAAAGTGTGAAAGAGGCCTGACAAATATAGTACTGCCATCTAACCAGGGGATTCTTAGTTAAATCGCACTTTCACCCTAGCAGTGCTCTCTTCTGAAACGAAAGGAACTCTTGACTGTCCTAATTTGCAAGGATAATGGCTGGCGTGCTTGGCTTGTCCAAGTGCCAGTCAGAACAGACACGCAATTATTCAATTTAAAATAAAGTTTTTAAATTTCATTACAGGAGTTAAATTTTCCTGTACTTATATAATTATTTAACATCATGATAAATAAATTTCTACATTTTTAGACACAATTTTTAATGCAAACAATGTTCCTATTAAATAATAATTTAAGCTACAGATTTTAAGCATGTTAAATTATCTGCGTGCATTG